TTAGAGTTTAAGGTAAGGTAAATTGGAATTATGTGTGGCTAATAAAGCAATTTTACTGCTGCTGTTCGGAGAACTAGCCTATAATCAAAGAATTAAAAATAAATGAGCTTACACACGTCCCAAGCTTTCATCCGGGCTGATTTGTAAGACATCCGGCGAGAATGCACGTCCGCGAGGCAGATACGACTGTCATCAATCGTGTCACTACGTAGGCGCTGTAGCAACCTCATTTCGAGTAGAAAATTCATGGAGGTTATTAAATTTGAATCTGTGGAACGTTCGCTACATGGCGTTTAGTCGCAGTCGCAGTCGATAAGAGTAGGTTTCAGATAGAATCAGGAACGATGACCAACTGTAGCCAGTTGGAGCGCTATTTGTCGGGAAATCAATAAAACGGGTTATACTAGTGGAGAACAACCTAGACCGACTGACTGACGTCATTGCGGTTGTTTGGAGCCCACCGAAAGTAAACCACTAAGCAATCGACCAACTCACCAACATGCCCGCTAGAGATATTCTGTTAAGGAAAGCACCGAGGTTCAGAGCTCAAAGTCAGACGGGAAAACAATGCAAATTATGTCAACAAGATAAACTACCGACAAGTGTGGTACACTGTCTGTCGAAAGAATTGGCACAAATGTGGCAAAAATACGTGAAGTGCTGTAACTCGGAAAGTAAATTAAACCTACCAAGTCTATGTAAGTTGGCAGCAGCATCACCGGCAATCGCATCAAACGACCCACTAAACATCACGAGAAGGACTGGTTGGTAATTTTAGAAGGTGACGATGCTACTCCACTTCGACGTAAGGCCAACTCGGATAGGGCTGGCGATCAAACCCCTTTTATGGAAATGGATACGTTGGGGCTGTGGAGAAGCCATACATTACAGCCGAGCATAAACTGGGAAAGTTTTCGGGCCGAAGCCACCACTTCACATATACATTTGGACTATGCACCTAAAAGGACTTAGAACCATGTCCACGAACGTTTATTAAAGTAAAAACTTATAAACAGCCAACAATTTTGTAAATTCCACTTTATAGAGCAATTCCTGGATCCTTGCGATGATTGGCCGGACCGGACTGGAGTAGGCAGACACCGGTGCGTGCGCAAGTGCTAGCAGCCGCGGGAGGCGAACGTCACGCGTGGATTGGAGTAACTACCTCAGTTCTAGAGACATTTGGGTTAGAGTTAATAAAGAAGTAGACAGAATTTCTGGGACAAAACAAATCGTGGCAATAAGCAGGGACTCATGAAATATGACAGCATCACGGACCATGATACATACTGTTTAGCAGTATTGGAAATCCTGCAAATGGCATACTGTCGTCTCAAAAAGTTGCAAAGTCGCAGACTTAACTTCCCTTGATTATCCAGTGTGCTTTCTTAAAAATCTAGGGAGTTTGTAAAAAAAAAGCTTAAAACGGTCAGTTCCAGTCACAAACAAATCCATAGAGGACAACAAACGTCGCCTACAAGAAGACTATTTATAAAACTGGTAACCGCTTGCAAAATATTCCGTTTACTAAGAGAAGGTGATAGAAAAGCATATTTGGCTTTGCCCATTGTGGCAGATTCGGGCTTCTTTACTGCTCTCCAGTTATTTTTCCAGCTTAACTTAAAAAAGACCTGGTCACTCTTAAACTTAGTCTCCGAATGCTTTCTTCAGCTGCCGGTGTTTCCTGTTTTTTAGCCGACATTTTAGTACATTCTAGTTGCTCGCCCTCTCCACTCTGAACTAATAGCTGCGAAGTCTTCCTGTACAATGCGCCGAGGCTTCCGTCATATGCCTTGCCATACATCGGCATATCAGCACTCTGTACTCCCATTCCTAGCACGCTACCTAACGTGTGAAGAAACGGAAATTTAGAAGTTGAAAGCTGACCTGTCTCCATAGTAGATGTGGATATCGTGTAAAACTTTAATTCTGAGTATTACCTGACCTTTTACCTTAGCCCTTTTACCCTTATTTACCTTATTCTTTGCTTTCCGTGAGTGGAGCCATTTTTACTGAAAGTTTAGGATTTTCCATTCTAAATAGAGCATTCATGTCTCTCTCAATACAGAGCATAGATGGACAACATATTTCTTCGGCAACGACTTCCTGTGTTCGGTATGGTGTAAACGAAGGAGGCTTTTGGTTGTATTTTAACTTTTTAGTCATTAAAGTGGTCACCACCACCACCATCACCACTATGCCTGCAATCCCAGGTGGGACTGCGCCTGCATTCTATCGGGAGTTCAGAATTTATTCAAGTTCCGTACCTGTTCATGGTCAGGATTGTTTGAGCGAAATAGTTGGCGTTCTAGATTTTGCCGCAGTCTCTTTCACAAGAAAACGAATGAGCTGTCGCCTGTGGATGATTCAACTGAAACCGGTCACTCGAGGATAGAGGCCACGTCACAAAGGCCCGGGAAAGAGGACGCACGAACCCATATAGCTGAAGCCACTGAACTGGACAAGTGACGAAAAAGGATAATGCAAGCTGGCAGTCATGGTCATTCCACGCTCGACGATGTGAACGCAATGTAAAATTTATAGACCTATAGACCTTAAATATACTGATATATACCGCGAACAGACATTAATTTCTC